ACGTATCTCTAACAAAACTATCTTAATCAATCTTAGCTGCTATGCATAAATAGTCATTGTTACTGCTTGTAAAAACTACATAAAATATATTCTTTCATATGCTTTCACTTTTTGTGTAGAAGATATTGTAAACCTCTTAATGAATGGTTCAACGGAAATTCCTCTTTATCATGGTATCATTTGTTTGGTTTCGTTCCACTACTACAAAATAAGTTGTTTGTAACACCAATATTATGACGGCCATAATGTTAATCATTGCAATAGATTAATCCTGGACGCATATTTTTTTATATTTACTAGATGACATGTCACAACGGTCAAAGTAACAACTTTAGTGAAAAGTACACGGAGTGAAATGGTTCGAATCTCATCACCAACAATTAGTCATTTCTCGTAGTAAAAAATGTTATTGACCATGTATATCACCAAAGTTTTTATTTTCAACTGTGATGAAACGTGATATTTATTGATATATAAACAAAATTATTTATCGCTTCAGTATATAACAACCCTCTTTCTCAACAAAATCCTAACAACTCTTTCACTCGTCTCTCAAAACGAAACCCTAACAACTTTGTCACTCGTCTCTCTCATGTGGAAACCACAACAAAACCATAAAAACAAATCTTAGCCCATGAGTATTTACAAGTTCGTTTTCTCTGTAATTTATTTTTTTTAAATCTGTTTCAATAGTTTGTTTCATGATGTTGAACTTTCTTCTTTTTTCCTCTTGTAGGTATGGATGCTTATTGCAATAAAGAGGACGAAGATAATGACATCCATTCAAAATATACACAAGTTTGTTGGTCTAAATTTATATTCATCCTTATTTCATTGTTAACATGCCATTATGGGACTTGACACGTATGATATATTTTTGAAGCATTAATTTTATGCCTTGATATGTTTGTTGTATCGTGTTTGTTGGTAATTGTTTGTTGTTGATGAATGTTTTTTATGAATGTAGTTGTTAATGTCTGTCTAAAATACGAGTTTATTATATATTATGTGGTTTGAGTGTTTTTTCAATCCCTTACCGAATATATAACTTCCCAAACTGCATTAGAAAATTATGATATGTTAGATAAAATTGTATTAGAAAATAAATACACGTTCAATTCTTGACAAGTATTCTTCACACACTAGTAGAAAAAATACTTTATAGTAGAGGCTGTTAAGTCAGCTCATCAATAACCCGACTTAAGAAACCACACGGTGGCAATTCTGTAAATATTTGAAACTTTGTTATGTCGGGTCTATGTTTAACCGACCTACAAAGATTAAATAAAAAAAAAATATAATTTTCATTAAATTTCTTAAGTCGGTTCTTTTACTGAAATGACTTAAGAAATTTATTTATTAAGTCAGGTGTTTATTACCTGACCTAAGAAGGTCTTACAAGACTCCAGTTCGATTCTTACCTAATACGTTCTACTGAAATAAACATTATTTAATACTTAATTAATAAATTTTAATTAAAATAGTTTCTCCAGGTTCTCTCAGTCGCCTGAAAAGTCTCCTTCTTTGATTCCTCTGAGCAAACTAGAAAGACTGAGAAGACAAACCCTAAGCGAGAAAACACGTTATTTGCATAAACTAATGCCATGGGATAAGAAAATGGATCAAGCTACCCTTTTCAAAGAAGCTCACAAATACGTTAAGTTCTTGCAGGCACAGATCTCTGCTCTACAATCAATGCCATCGCATTCAACCACAATCAATGCCCTCATAGTCCCAAAAATTGAACACCCTCTTAATCTTCCTCCATTACAAGACTATCTCCCACTTCAACAACAACAACCCTTCAACTTATTCCCTCAATACTACCCACCTTTTGAGACTTTCCACCGTCTCCCTCAACTCCATTCTCCTGAACACTCTAACAGAAAACGCCTCTGCCACCCTTTCACGAAGGAAACAACCCCACTACCACAGAAACAACCTCACCTTGTTCGTGGAAAGTCTCCTTCTTTGATTCCTCAGAGCAAACTAGCAAGACAGAGAAGACAAACCCTAAGCGAGAAAACACGTTGTTTGCAGAAACTAATGCCATGGGATAAGAAAATGGATCAAGCTACCCTTTTCAAAGAAGCTCACAAATATGTTAAGTTCTTGCAGGCACAAATTCTCTCAATCTTTCACCAATCGCCACTGTCACCATACTCACTTTCTCCAGGTTCTCTCTTCTCTCTGCGTTTTGAAATGTTAGGTTTTGAATTTTCAATGAATACATTGTAAAGAGTATTTCGTGTTTTCAAATTTGAAGCAGGGTTTAGGTGATACTAAATTGTTGGAGGTTTTGGTGATACTAGCAAAGGCTTTGAACTCTGCAGATTAGGTATGTTTTCATGATTATTCATGTATGGTGGTTCAGTTTCTTTGAATGTTTGATGGAGTATTCATGAAATATTTTTGTTAAATTGAAGATGGAATTGATTTGAATTTTAGTTTGGATAGGTTTTCTAACCGGTATAGTTTTTCCTCTATTCTGCTACTTGAGTTTTGATAGTGTTTCTAACTGGTATAGTTTGGATAGTTTGGATAATGTTTCTAACTGCTGCCTAGGATTTGATTGGCCCTTAAATATAGCCAGAGCATTAATATTATAAATGAATCTATGATTCACTCACTCACCCATTGATATTCATCTCTTATAATACCTAACAAAACTGAATGTGTTTGAATTCAGTTTGTTTCAGTCTGATCTTAATGTGTTCAAGTGACTGACAAATCAAAAAGTGGAAGCGAGATTAATTTTTTTGATAAATTTTATTGTTATTGATCATTGTTTATATTGTACCTTGTTGTGTTTGGAAAAATAAGTATTATTAATGAAGAATTACATTCAGTCTCTTTCCACCTAATTAGTTCTTGTTTCTTTTGTACAACTATCAATCATGTTAGCAAGACAAAGCACACCAGCATATCACCATAATATCCATTCATATTCATTGCATATGAGACTGAAAATGAGAAAACTATATCTAATTATTGAGAAAGAAAAAAATAGCAGGGACAAAATGTACCTTAAGGCTTTATTATGTATCTAATCATTGATAAAGGGATAAACTATTTATTTTGTATTTGAATATTTTATGACATACTTATTTTAATTAGCTATACTTGTAGATGTTAAACATTTGTTCTTGTTTCATGTTATCAATTAGTTACTATGAGGGTCTCCAAAAGTGTGTTGGTTTGTATTTAGAAGATGGGAAGTACTCTGCTGATCAAATAGATCAGTTAGTTTCATTGTATGAAACACTTGGGCAACAATATAAGTGGCCTTCTGCAGTAAAGGTAATACTGTTTGCTATTGTTATTGCTAATATCTTTCCTTAGAAGTTTAACAATCATCAATAATATTTTGCTGTATTACCCATACAAGACATTTAAAGTACATGCTTTTCCTGTGGAAATGATTTTTCTAATATGTAAGATCATTACTGTGTTTCTGATAGTGTTTTTGGAGGCAGGTATTTCATTGTTTTATGCTTGGTTTTAAATGTTGCCAAAACTTGAATCAAATACCCGTGAGCCTAATACGTGTGGTCATAATGTCTTAAATTTGTGTTTTCAATAACTTTGGAGATTTAAAATATAGGGATATTGAATTACAACAATTTAATTATTTTCATTGCAAAATCATTTGTTTTGATTTTTATCCTTACACATACTGTTGAATAATTGGAAGTTGCTAAATATTCTGAATGCAAATTTGTCCTGGTCCTCATCACAGATGAATCTCAATATGAACTCTGTTTAGGGAACTCTGAATGTATAAGCTTATATTTAGGGAGCTGTTTGTTTGAGAATCTCTCTTTTTTTATTTGGAGTGTGTGACAGTAAAAAACAAGGGGCACATTTTGATCTAAATAAATGTTACTAGTGTACAAAGTAACTATAAAATTAAAGTGCATTTCTCAGGTTAGTATAATATAACAGGCTATTGCATTCCTCAGGTTAGTATAATATAACAGGCTATTGCATACTACAAATTTGTTTCTGGCTTTTATTCACCCTTTGAAATGTGAATGCATATAACAGGATATTGCATATGCAAAGCTTGCTTTTTTGGACCCACAGTATGCACTATGTAAGCATCTTGGTTTTTTCTATAATCAATTTTGACATGTTAGATCAGTTATATGATGATGATGATGACGACGACGATGATGACTTGGTTTTTTTTGTTGTTGTAGATACTAGTTTTGTTGCTCCTCTTGTGTATGCTTTCATGGGAAGTTCAAGAGATATTGCAATAGGACCAGTAGCTGTTGTGTCTCTCTTGCTTGGCACCTTGCTAACTGATGAAATCCCTAACTTCAAAAGTCATGAATATCTTCGTCTCGCATTTACTGCGACTTTCTTTGCAGGAGTCACTCAAATGGCACTTGGCCTATTAAGGTACTGTTATTGGATATTTGGATTGGTAGTAAAATGATTCATATTATAATCCATATGAGGTGAATTTTGCAGACTCGGTTTCTTGATTGATTTCCTATCACATGCTGCAATTGTGGGATTCATGGTGGGAGCGGCCGTTACTATTGCACTCCAACAGCTTAAAGGTTTTCTTGGCATAAAAGATTTCACTAAAAAACTGATATTATTTCTGTCATGAGATCGGTTTTTAGTGCAGCCCACCACGGCGTAAGCTTTCTTTTTCTTTTCAAATTGGCTTGTGAAACGTCTATATGGAAGAACTTACGAAAACAACTTATGATAACTTATTACGCAAGCACTTATTTAAGCGTTTATGTTATAAGCACTTAACTAAATTGTTTTAATCTTTGGTTACAGTGGAATTAGGAGACAATATTAATTGGAGTATCATTCTTGGCTTTCCTTCTTACAACAAAATATATTGTAAGAATGCCAACAATTTCTCTTTCTCTCTTCATTTCCATTTATTGAACCTTTATATATGATTATGATTATGTTATAATGAATAGGCTAAGAAGAAAAAGAATCTCTTTTGGGTGGCTGCAATTTCTCCTATGATATGTGTTATTGTCTCTACTTTTTCTGTTTACATTACAAGGGCAGACAAGAAAGGAGTAGCAATTGTAAGTATTAAAAAGCTAATTAGTTTCAAACAAAATGAAGCACTGTTTAAGATTTAAAAAGCATTATGGTGTTTCAGGTGAAACATATTGAAGATGGTGTGAATCCAATATCGGCCGGTGAAATATTTTTCAGTGGAAAATATCTTAGTGCTGGTATTAGGATTGGTCTAATTTCTGGTATGGTAGCTCTCACGGTACGTGAATTTATAGAAACTTTTCTTATCTCTTTTGTTTCATAAACATTTATAGGAAATTTCAGCCAGTTTTCTTAAAAAAAATTATAGGAAGCTGTGGCTATTGGAAGAACATTTGCTGCTATGAAAGATTATTCGTTGGACGGTAATAGAGAAATGGTGGCACTAGGAACAATGAATATTATTGGTTCATTAACATCTTGTTATGTAGCTACATATTAGAGTTTGGTCGGCGATGCTTAGGAGAAAGGCGGAGAGAACAAGAAAAATTCCAAGATGTCTGCACTTAAAAATGAAGTAGCTGAATATGATGATTTCATTCTCTTGGATATTCAAGAGGAGTACAGTAAGCTCCCATACAAAACGTTAGCTTTCTTTAAAGCCGCTTATGCTCTTTTTGAAGACGAGTTTTATGTCAAAGCTGATGATGATATATATTTAAGACCTGATCGTCTTTCATTACTGCTGGCTAAAGAGCGATCTCATACTCAGACTTACATTGGATGTATGAAAAAATGACCTGTTTTCACTGATCCAAAACTCAAATGGTATGAGCCACTATCACATTTACTTGGAAAGGAATATTTTTTTCATGCTTATGGTCCTATATATGCTCTTTCATCTGATGTTGTTTCAAGATTGGTTGTTCTTCAAAATGATAGCTTCTGGATGTTCAACAATGAAGATGTTACGATTGGAGCTTGGATGCTCGCAATGAATGTCAAACATGAGAACAATCTTGAACTTTGTGCTACAGACTGTACAACCACATCTATTGCTGTGTGGGATATTCCCAAGTGTTCAGGCCTGTGTAATCCAGAAAAGAAAATGTTGGAGCTCCATCAAAAGGAGAGCTGCTCTCAGAGTCCAACGCTAGAATCTGATGATGATTAAAATTTCTGGGTACATTATTTGGACAAATTAAGCTCAGAAGTTGTGGAGGAAGTTTTTTTGTCATTTCATAATGCCAGAAGATATTGCCAGTGTCATTCTTTTCCGTTCGTTGATCTTCCTAATACTACAGGTATAAAAAAGAGGACTAATTCAATGAATCATGTTTTAGTTTCTATTCAGAATCTTGTAAATCATCATATCTTAATGAGTGTTTGTTTATGATATTTTGCAGGATCGTTTTTGCGGTTGGCTGTGAACTATATGGCTGGTTGTAGAACTGTTGTATCGAACATAGTTATGTCCATAGTGTTGTTGTTAGAATTAACATAGTTTCTTATTTTGATGATGTTTTGATAAGTACGTACTTGGTGCTTTAGAGTTAACATGCACGTGTTTGTTTGTGTATTAGTATTATTAATATACGTAATTTTGTTTATAAGTTGTTGGTATATTTTATTTGATAATTAGGGGTTTTACTGTGATATGTGATTTTTTTTGGTGTAATTTGTTGATTGAGTTGGATAGTCTGAATTGGGGGTAAATTATTAAATGGAAAAACTGCATCTGATTTGTGTGATTATCTAAAAAAACAAAAACAACTTCTTAGGTCGGTTAATTATACCCGATTTAAGAAAGTAAGTTCTTAGGTCGGGTATAAATGGTTTCTGCAGGCTAGACTTATTAAGTCGGGTTCTGCCTAACCGACCTAAGAAGTTGTTTCTTAAGTCAGGTCCACAACCGACTTAAGAAGTCAAAACTTCTTATGTCGGTAATTCTTAGGTCGGGCTCGAACCCGACTTAAAAAGTCATTTTTAACCGACTTAAGAAGCCTTTTTTCCACTAGTGACACTGTTAGCTGCATGTTGTTCTTTGATCGTTAGAACTTGGTTTAGTGACTGTAGATCTTAAACCACCCTTCCCTCCACCTTTAACTTTGTTTGCAAAGTAAATAATATTTTTCAAAAAAAATTAGAGTTGAAGGAAAGGGTTGTTGAAGAACTAGGATCATTAATCCAAGTTCTTACTGTCAAAAAAAAAATACGGATAAGGAGTTGAAGAACCCTTGTCAAGCACTGAACATGCACTTATTTCTTCTAATATAACATATTTGTCATATTATAATGTTCTAGTGTAGATGGGAAGGTTATATGTTTAGTGAACATTGGCGAAATAAGCATTCCAAATAATTTATAATAAACTCAGGGCTATATTTAACAACAGTTGTCTACGCTTTTTCAACCGTTGTGATATGGGTTTTTTGTAGTAGTGTTCATCTACGCTTTCCTAAACCATAATCCTTTTGTGGCTCATTCATCCCTGAAGCAAATCTAATCTCCATTGAATCAAGGTGCAAGAATGAAATCCACAAAAAATCAAGCTTCAATTGTTTGAGAACAAACACAGTCTTAAACGATTCCTTCAATTTTCGCATCTTCAAACTCAAATTCACACATAGCGTTTAGACATGAAATGATGATTATATAACCACGATCGTATCTTTCAACCGTTAGTATATCATATCAAAATTTTAATAAGTAAATAAAAGAAAATGTTTGTCCGTTAAGTAATAGATGTCATCACGGTCCTTCGTAGCACCGTGATAAGTATGACGTTATTGTATATACATTTTGTAGTAGTGAGGTTACATACTAATGACATCAAACTTAACGAATAAATAAAAATAAATAATCTAATTTCTTTATATAAAGTCTTGAAGAAATTATGTTTAAATATTTAATCACGACTATATGAAATTGATCTCTAGAAAATCCATTTTTTAGAGTTCTTTTGCCTCCAAATATCTAACAAGTTTACATAAGACAATATTATGCATACATGCGTGTATCAGTGTATGGCTATGTCAGTGCTTTATAAGTAACAATAAATAATGATGTAATTTTCTAAAATGAGTAAGGGCGAGAGTGGAAGGGAAACTCAATTTCAAAAATGTGAAAAGGGAGGAAGGGGAAAATGTAAAAAATGAAAGAAAGAAGCGGTAAGGTTCAATTAATGTCAAATCTGACATTTTCTAATTTAACTAAGGGTGTTTATGTATTTAGTAGAGTCTCATGCTAATAATATTTTTATTTTAAATTTAATTTAATTAAATTATTATATTAAGAAATAGAGACGAGCTAGAAAGAAATAAAGAATATAATATTTATATTATACTCTTCAAGATATATCTTTTACATTGCTACATGAATTATGTTTATGTGTGTGACATGTATATTGTATTCCTCTTCTACTTATAGTTCATGAACATCCATATTAATTTATAAAAAGAGCTAACAAATGCTCTAGAATTTGTTTAAGAAATAAAAAGAGGGTAACAATCATATAAAAGTTGATATATTAATTACTTCATCAAATATTGGATTTATATTTCAAAACAAATTTTCGTTTTATGGATTCTTTAAACAATACAGATAAGGCATTTGTTGTTGGAAATAATAATTTATTTCCATTAAAGTTGTTCCAAAATGACAAAGTGGGGTTATAATAAATGCTTAGTCCCACATTGGAAGAGGAGTAAAATTAAATAGCATTTATAAGGCACTTGGAACAATGTAATTTCCAAAAGAGCCAAAAAGGATAAAGTGCCACATAGTCACATGTGGTGGTGCCAAAACTTATGTCACTTGTCTCATACAAAACACCCCTCGCCGGTGTCGCCACCGGCGACACCGGCTCCGGCTCCGGAACCGGATCCGGGGGTGTGGGCGTAGAGGCGCTAGTGGCGCTTGTAGACGGTATACTGCGAATTTAATTTTTAATTATCGCTCAGACTTATTCGTTGCCTAGAGTTTGATTTTGAATTTGAATTTGAAATACATGACACTTGACGAAGTGGTGCATGATATTTTATGTGAACCATTGCAAATGCTCATTAGAGAGTGTGTATATGAAGAATTGCAAACTTCTGAAAAGACACATGCATGGCTATAAATATATGCTTCATAATTCGAAATCATTCACTCCAAAATTCTGAAATCCTCTTCTATATAATTCCAACATTTTCCTTGCATTCGAAACTTCATCAGTCTTGTGCAGTTTCGAGAAAAAGGCTGACTTATCCTGGGTATTCAGGCCGTTCCAACTCTAAGACAATCTGAGAGTGTGCTTGAAATACTTTTAAGGAAAGTGATTTCGTTTACGATTCAGTCTGGATCCATTCGACATAGAAGAATTATCTAACAATCTTAAAAGTATTTGTATCATGGATTCCGACGCTGCTGTTTCAAGTATCAAAGTCATGAATCAGGATCTTGTCAAATTGGATCGCTTCGATGGAAACAACTTTACCAGATGGCAAGACAAGATGACGTTCCTACTTACTGCACTCAAGGTTCACTACGTCTTGGATCCCAATCTGACACCAATTCCAGAACCAACTGCAGATGATTCTGACGAACTCAAGAAGAAGCGCATGCTGCGAAGGGAGGACGAATTACTATGCCGTGGGCATATTCTGAACACGCTGTCTGACCGCCTATACGACCTATACACAGACAATCCGTCCGCTAGAGACATATGGAATTCACTAGAATTTAAATTCAAAGCCGAAGAAGAAGGTACGAAAAAGTTCTTAATTTCTAAATACTTTGATTTTAAATTTATAGATTCCAAGCCCATACTTCCTCAAGTGCACGAATTGCAAGTCCTGGTGAACAAAATCAAAGCGGTGAAAATAGACATTCCTGAAACCTTTCAAGTTGGTGCAATCATTGCGAACTTTCCAAGTTCGTGGAAAGGCTATAAAAAGAAACTGTTGCACAGTTCTGATGACTTTTCCTTGGAGAAAATCCAGAAGCATCTTCGAATCGAGGAGGAATCGAAGGAGAGGTAAAAATCAGAATCTGCGGGTCTTTCCAAAGCCAATGCTGTGACCAGAAAGGAAAAGAAAAAACATGATGTCAAGAAAAGTCACATCGCACCAAAAAAGGAACATACCAAGTTCAAGAACTTCGGTGGTCCGAAGGGTCCGAAAAATGGATGCTTTGTATGTGGAAAACCTGGACATTATGCTCGAGATTGCAGGCATAATAAATCAAAAAAGGAGATCAATGCAGTAAATGCTAATGATGATATAATTGCTACTGTGAGCGAAATTATGGCAATCAAAGGCAAAGTCCAAGGCTGGTGGTATGATACATGTGCCACGGTTCATGTCTCATATGACAGGGCTGCATTCAAAACATATTCTGAGGCAAATGATGGACAAGAAGTACAAATGGGAAATGAAGTGCGATCCAAAGTTGTTGGAACCGGAACGGTCGAACTCAACTTCACTTCTGGAAAGAAAGTTACTCTTGTTAATGTGCTTC